CTAATATCGGTGAGATGGTTTATATCGGTGATATGGTTTATATCGGTAAGATGGTTTATATCGGTGAGATGGTTTATATCGGTGAGATGGTTTATATTGGTGAGATGGTTTATATCGGTAAGATGGTTTATATCGGTGAGATGGTTTATATCGGTGAAATGGTTGATATCAGTGAGATGGTTCATATCGGTGAGATGGTTTATATAGGTGATATGGTTTATATCGGTGAGATGATTTATATCGGTGATATGGTTTATATCGGTAAGATGGTTTATATCGGTGAAATGGTTTATATCAGTGAGATGGTTTATATAGGTGAGATGGTTTACATCGGTGAGATGGTTTATATCGGTGAGATGGTTTATATTGATGAGATGGTTTATATCGGTGAGATGGTTTATATAGGTGATATGGTTTACATCGGTGAGATGGTTTATATCGGTGAGATGGTTTATATTGGTGAGGTGGTTTATATCGGTGAGATGGTTTATATCGGTGATATGGTTTATATCGGTGAGATGGTTTATTTCGGTAAGATGGGTAATATCGGTGAGATGGTTTATATTGGTGATAGAGATGGTTTATATCGGTGAGATGGTTTATATCGGTGAGATGGTTTATATCGGTGAGATGGTTTATATTGGTGAGATGGTTTATATCGGTGAGATGGTTTATATCGGTGAGATGGTTCATTTCGGTGAGATGGTTTATATCGGTGAGATGGTTTATATCGGTGAGATGGTTTATATCGGTGAGATGGTTTATATCAGTGAATGGTTTATATCGGTGAGATGGTTTATATCGGTGAGATGGTTTATATCGGTGAGATGGTTTATATGGTGAGATGGTTTATATCGGTGAGATGGTTTATATCGGTGAGATGGTTTATATCGGTGAGATGGTTTATATGTGAGATGGTTTATATCGGTGAGATGGTTTATATCGGTGAGATGGTTTATATCGGTAGATGGTTTATATCGGTGAGATGGTTTATATCGGTGAGATGGTTTATATAGGTGAGATGGTTTATATGTGAGATGGTTTATATCGGTGAGATGGTTTATATTGGTGAGATGGTTTATATCGGTGAGATGGTTTATATAGGTGAGATGG